GAATAATGTTCCTCCGTGTCTAATAACATATCTTTATTTTTCTACTATTAAAAAACAACATTTTTTTAATATCAAAAGCCTTCTAGATAAATTACTAGATTAGTAGTACGCGTTATATCACAAGTTAAACTAAATCTTTTTTAATATAAAAAATACTTAAATAATGGTAATATTTTTTAAAAAATAAAAAGAATCTAAGACCTGGGTTATTAATTTTACTTAATCTAATAATCTTTGTTAATTTAATAATATGATAAATAATTTTTAAAAAATAAATTTTATAAATAAAAAAATAAAAAGACTTGAGATAACTCAAGTTATTTTTTAAATTAATGAAAACTTTTATGAAAAAAAACAAAGCCTGGTATATAATTAAATAAATATAGAATGATGAAACTAAAAAGAGAAAGAGAGAAACAAGAAAATTATGGCGAATCTCTTAAACACAAGTTAATTTTTTAAAAAATAACAATCAGAAGAATAAAAATTAAATCTAATATGAAAATAATTAAAGAATAAAACTGTAAAAAAAATATTATCTCACATATAAAAAATTACAATTAAAAGACTAGAAACCAAATCTAATAAATGAGAAAATTAAATAAGGAATGAATTGAGAAAAAAAATCTAATTTTATAAATTTTTTAATAAAAAATAATAATTAAAAGAACAATTACCAAATTTGAAAAAAAATTGAAAAACTATTTGAAAATTTTAAAAGTTAGACATTAAAAATAAGAAGAAGAAAGAAAATATAAGGGAAAAAGATAGGTCATGTTTCCAAAAACATTAAAAATGACTTTTTTTTATCACACGCACTTGAATATGTATCTGAATATGTGTAATGCAGACGTTAACTAGTTTTAATTTTTAAATTATATTTTATATTTAGTAAAATATAAAAAAAAATTAGTCAACTTGATTATAATTAAAAATCATATAAAAAAACAAAAAAAAACCATTGAATGACAAATAAATAAATTTTACTTTTCTTCTTAATCAATTATTGGATTTATTGATAATATATATTTTAATCATGGTATATTTATATGTGTGTGTGTATTTTGAGAGAGGGAGGGGAGGTGGTGTCATCAGCTAACCAGCTAGTATGCACTCAATAGATAGGGCATTGAATTTTTTATTGGAATATTTAATATTATGGTATAAAATATTTTTTTTATTATAAATATATTAAAATGTTTTTTTATAAATTAAAATTATGAAAATATTAATAAAATATTTTTTTAAGACAGATACACCTTTTAAAAGCATTCAAAACAAAAAATACCACAATTTCAATCGGTTCTAATCCACTCATTTATTTTGCTATCAAAACCAACCCTATAATGATCGTGCCCTGAAATTGCACTTGGTAACAGTACTATTTACACGTGGGAATTAATTTGCTTACATAATCTATTATGTCATGGACACTCAACAATTTATACTGTATTTGACCTCATTTATGAAAACAAATATTTTTTTTAAATTTTTTGTCATGAAAAAAGCTTTTTTTATAAAACTAATTTATGACAAAAATAATTTTAAATTTGAAGTATATTTTATAAAAATGACTTCAAATAACTTTTCTTGAAAAACATAGAGCAGAAATTAGAATCTATAAATTAAAAGTTAAAATTTAAAAATTTTAACTGTTTGTTATAGTATAGTTTTGACTTAATTTTTTTATCAAGATTTTAATTCTAATTAAAAATTAAATTTTTTAACTAATTGCTGAGAGGACACTCTCTGGTTAAAAAGAAAATGGGTTTGCATTTCCGACACGCATATGTTTTGTGATTTTTCATTTTTTTTTATATTATCATACATTTTATATGCTAGGCCTTTTGTTTAACATCTCAAAGATTTTTTTCGTCAACTAAGTTTTTTTATTGAATTAATTATAACTCAGTCCTGATAGTGCAGTAAAATTAATTAATTAATTCTTAATTATTCAATAATTATCATTTAATTTATATTTTTTAAATTTGTTAATAACTTAGGTTTTTTTAAGTCAACTCGTCAGATTAATTTTATAACTCGAAATATTATAATATTATTAATTTCAGTACTCAATTTAAATTTAAATTAAATATAAAAATAATATCTAATTATTTTTAAAAATATATAAATTTAACAACAATACATGCTAAAAATAAAATATATTTTTTCATAGTCATCCTATCCTGTCTATTATACTTAACAAAATACAAAAAAATAATTTTTTTATCTTGTATATTATTATGAAACATAATTTTATCTTTATCTTTTTTTATTATTTTTGTCTATTTTATTTATAACAGTAACCAAACATAATTTATGTGCGTTGGCTTTTCTCTTATTATTTTCCAAACATGAAAACTAATATCCGAATATTTTACTTCATCTCTTTATTAATATGATTTTCTTTTATGTAATTGTTTAAATCCTAACTTGATTCTTATTATGAAATCATACATGTAAGTAGATGTTGATTTGCATTCTTCCATCCTTTTATCTTCATTCATTATCTTTTAAGTTTATTTGAACTCCCTATTTTCTAATGACCTCTAGACTCATAAATATTAATGTATATTAGACTATTATAAATATTATTGAGATGATGTTGTAGCACAACTATATTTATAATATGATATGAAAAATAAATGCTCCCTCTTTTTTTTTTCTTCTGATCTTTATTATTTTCATTTATTTTATTTATTTTTATCGAGTATATTGTTTGCTTCCAAACCTACAGGTCTACAGTAATTCTCTTTTTATTTCCTCTTCATTTAATTTGATATCTCCTTATATTATTTAGTCTTTGGTTATCACATTCTTCTTTTTTTCTTTTTTCTTTTGCTCATTCCACTGTCTAATTTCTTATTTGTCTATCATGTCATGCAAAAAAAAAAAAACATACACACATACAAATAGAAAAAATTATAAAATAACAGAAATTTATTGAATTTCATTGAAAATATATTTTTTTTATTTTTTAAAATTCATGGAAAAAATTGAAAGTAAAAGATGAGTTAAGACAGCTTTATTTATAAAAATAAAAGTTACTTTTTCTCACCAACCATAATTACCTTTTAAAATAAAATAGACACCCAGAGTAAAATATTTAAACGTGTCACTTACTTTGAGTATGAAGATTATTTTTTCACTTCATTATTTTTTTAAAATTTATTAGTTTATATATTTTTTAAAATTATTTGACTAAACATAAATATCTTTTGTTTTCAATTAAAAACTCATAATATCTAAAATATATTCACGGCACCAACATTTTTTTCTCTCATTGTGAGTGCTAGTCGAGTACAGTAAATAATATCTGATTGCAGTGCATATGATATTTCTTTATTTAATAAAAATCTCAATGGAGGGGAACATGAAAAATCTAGTTTGAAAAATTAAAACAGAGGAGGAGAAATTGTTTTTTAAAAAAACACCAGGTTAGTTAACGTGTAATAGTCTATTTGTCATTGTATTTTAAAAAAATTAAATTTTTTTATTTTAAATTTATATATTTTTAATATTTTAAAATTATTTTGATATACTAATTTTAAAAATAAAAAATGTTATAAACATATTATATTTTTTAAGTAAAACACACTCATTGAAAATGATTTTATTTTATATATATAATATGTTTGTTCGGGTCAGATTATATGTATTTATATTAATTTTACAGGTCTAAAATTAATAACTATTTAAATTTTTAATAACTCTAAAATTTATAAAAATCAAACTAATTGACTTTTAAAAAATTATTATTATTAATCTAAAATATATTCACAGCACCAGCATTTTTTTCTCTCATAGTGAGTGCTAGTCGAGTACAGTAAATAATATCTGATTGCAGTGCATATGATATTTCTTTATTTAATAAAAATCTCAATGGAGGGGAACATGAAAAATCTAGTTTGAAAAATTAAAACAGAGGAGGAGAAATTGTTTTTTAAAAAAACACCAGGTTAGTTAACGTGTAATAGTCTATTTGTCATTGTATTTTAAAAAAATTAAATTTTTTTATTTTAAATTTATATATTTTTAATATTTTTAAATTTTTTATTTAAAAAAAATATTTTAAAAATAATCATAACTATATCTTCAAATTACAACTACAACGTACAATAACAAGGGACAGAAAGCACGTGATGGTCCCAGAACTTGGGAAACTGCCCGCCGTTGGTAACTCCAGATCTTAAATAAGATTCCATAATTGATCCTCCAGCTGTCGGCTACCCCTTAAGGTGTAGGCTCTTTTTTTTTTATTATTATTATTCTTTAATCTTGGATTCAAAATGGTTGGAAGAAAAAAGAATTTCACATGAAAAATTCCAATATATTTAGTTGATGGTTTTTCTTCCTTTTCGATTCGATGGATGATGCATTTCTTGCTAATTAATTTAGGACAACTTTTGCTCCGGTCCACAGTATTTTTTCATTACTTCGAATATAAATTATATTTAAGATTTAACGAAAAGGGAATTTATTAATATTAATATCTAATAATTAGAATCTGAATTTGGTAGCTCCTTACAAAATAGAACTTACTAACTAAATCATGAAAAATGGAAATAACACCTGTCATTACCTTTCATGTCTGGATAGAGGCTTTCCTATCCCATCTCTTTTTTACTTGGTGTTTTATTACAAAGTATGAATTTAGTGATAATAATCCCATAACTCTTTGAATTGATATCAATATCATGTAAATACATGTTTGAAAATACAATAAAAATTATATTTTATTTAAAATATATTAAAATAATATTTTTTATATCCCCACATCTATCTAAATAATAATAAAAAATTAATTTACCATCTACAGCTAATCCTGGATATCCAGAAAGGAAAAGAAGAAAATAAAATTTAATAATGGCAAATGTGGTAATTTTATCCAAAATCAATGTTCAAAAGTTTCTTTAAGGAAAGATCCTGACCCCACAATTGCTTTTTTTCTTCAGTTTTTTTTTTTTTTTTCTCTTCCCGTCTATATAAACCCAGTAACCTTGTTGCGAGTCTCCTCACCCTGCTCTCAAACAATCATTTTAAGAATATTTTACAGGAGAACAAGGAAGCCAAGCCTCTTTTTTTTAAGCAATACATCGAGAAAGAGAGAGGTTTTGGTGGTTTTGGGTTCTTGGTTTTTTGGTTGAAGTTTCTCGATTTGTAGAATTGTTTGTTCCTTAAGGAATTTAAAGAAAATCCAGGAATGACAAAGAATGTGGGGATTCTCGCTATTGATATCTACTTCCCTCCTACCTGTGTTCAACAGGTGATTAGATTTCATTTCTCTATCTACATCTCTCATTCTCCTTCTCAATAGCATTTTTTATTTACTTGGAATAGAGGTTTGTTTTTGATCGGTTTCTGTTTAGTTGCTGAGAAAAATAAGGAAATGTAAATAAAGTGGGGTTTTGGATTTTGTTTCTTAAAACTTCATGTGTAATTTGTTTTTGGGAAGATTAAATTAAAAATTATCCGGGCTTAATTAAGCATTTAATTATGTGTCGTAAAATAAAATAAAAAATTAATTTTTGTACTCAATTAGAATTAGGATTCTAATCATTCTATTCTGTGGCCAATGGTACTTTTTTCAGTGTCTCTTTGAAAGCTTGGTTTTGAGATACTTAAATAAATGAAGGATATCTTTGCCCAAATGCCCCCATGAAGCTTTGGAATTTCAGTATTCATTGATTAAAGTTTAGATAAAGATTAATATTAACCACGCTAATAATTCTTGTGTTTTCTCTCGTTTTTCTTTTTTTTTTTGGTCTTCATAACGACTTTTTTTTTTTGGGGGGGGTTGGGGTGTCAGATTCATTAATTGCCTAGCTCTGCCACATGCAAGAGCAAATCTGCGCTGGCTTTTCAATATAGTGATTTCCGTTGTACATGTGAAACAGGAAGCCTTAGAGACCCACGATGGTGCAAGCAAAGGGAAATACACAATTGGACTTGGACAAGATTGCTTGGGATTTTGTACAGAAGTGGAAGATGTTATCTCAATGAGGTTTGTGATTTTTCAAGATAAAGGACCCCTTAACTTCTATTCGACGTGGTTGTGTTTTATAACTTAGACAGCTGATAATGATGTTTACATATTTTGGGAGATTTTCAGTTTGACAGTTGTTAGTTCACTTCTCGAGAAGTACAATGTTGATCCAAAACAAATTGGTCGCCTAGAAGTTGGCAGTGAGACCGTTATTGACAAGAGCAAATCCATCAAGACCTTCTTGATGCAAATCTTTGAGGTATTTGATTATTTGAAATAATTGCAATGTTCTTATGGTCGCGTGGACCTGTGAATGAATCTTTGATGAAGTGTTTGGTGTAGTTGGAATGTTTACTTTATGGAACCATGCTGTGGATTATTTAACTTGAAATCTTGAAACATGCTTTGCTATACCATGATTTCTTCATCACAAAATTACCCGTTTAGCTAAATCTTGTGAGTGTGAATTTACATTTCATACATAATGGCCAGTAGCTTGCGTCCAAATTTGATATTTGGAGCTTGATCCTTATCTGTGTAGCTCATTTTTACTAGCTATCTTGTCTAATAGATAAAATTGCAAGGTCATTTCTGGATCTAATAAAAATCGCTCTGCTGTATGAGGCAAAAATAACATGCTCTATTGTAACATGATTCTCTTTCTTGAAAAACAAGCAGAAATGTGGAAACACTGACATTGAAGGCGTTGACTCAACTAATGCATGCTATGGAGGAACTGCTGCTTTATTCAACTGTGTCAATTGGGTTGAGAGTTGCTCATGGGATGGACGATATGGGCTTGTTGTGTGTACTGACAGTGCGGTATGATAATATCCTTTGACTGCTTCAAAATCGCTTTTTTTCTTAATAATTAGTTGAACTTATTGATGTTAAAATCAATTTTATTTCTGGAAACAAGACCATTTATTTGAATTTCTTAGATATTTCATATTTTCCATCTCACTGGTTTGGAGCATGTACTGGTTTCCTTTTCTTACTGGAGGTCTCTTTCTATTTTATCAGGTCTACGCAGAAGGACCTGCCCGACCTACTGGAGGAGCTGCTGCCATTGCCATGCTAATCGGTCCAGATGCACCTATTACTTTTGAAAGCAAATTTAGGGGGAGTCACATGTCTCATGCCTATGATTTCTATAAGCCCAACCTTGCTAGTGAATATCCGGTACCTCCATTTCCCTTCTACATTGATTCCCTTTTCTGTGTAACCTACTTACTACTATAATTCTTTATAGCTTGTTCTTGTTTCTTGATACCTTTTCCTCATGCTGTGGAAAATGCTATTGTAGGTTGTGGATGGCAAGCTTTCTCAAACATGCTACCTCATGGCCCTTGATTCCTGCTACAAAACATTCTGTGCAAAGTACGATATATTAACTTCAGAAAGCTTTTTTCATGATGTAGACCTTTTGATGATACTGGTGATGTGTGTGATGTAAATGGCTTGCTATCTTGCTCCGTGTAGGTATGAGAAATCAACAGGCAAACAATTCTCTCTTTCTGATGCTGCCTATTTTGTATTCCATTCTCCTTATAACAAGGTAAATTTATTATTTTGCTTTTGCCATTGCTCTCTTTGTGGTATCACCAACATTTTCAGTATTTGTATTAATTCCGTATGTTGAACTTTCGCAGCTTGTACAGAAAAGCTTTGCTCGGTTGGTGTTCAATGACTCTGTGAGGAAAGCAAGGTTCTGTCTTTTCTTCACTCCTGAAGAATTTTATATGTTTTGGTTTTCAACTGGTAAAATTTGCATGATATATTAAGTTCTTACCTTCATTTGCTATTATTTGCAGCTCAATTGATGAGGGTGCAAAAGAGAAACTGGCACCGTTTTCAACTTTATCTGGTGATGAAAGCTACCAAAGCCGGGATCTTGAGAAGGTGCATTTAAAACCCACCCTGTCTGTTAAAAATGTGAAGACGTTTCTTTCTTTTGCTTTTTATCCACCACACTGCAGAAGAAGGGTTGCTGGTACCTATTTTGACTCTAATGAGTTAGTGAAGAGAAAGAAATCATTTAACTTCTTGAGCCCTCACTTCTAAGGATACTCCTGTTGCTTTCAAATTCTTATCAAATCTTTGTTTGGATGTTTTGCCAACAGTGTGCTAAATGCAGGAGATTTTACTTGCCTAATTCTTACAGATAAGCTACTGAATTACTAAGCATGCATGATGCTGAACATTTCCAGACTTCTAAATTGCAAAGATTGCTTAAGATTCCATTTTAGAATTGTTTAGTTGTTGGTATTTGAGCATCTTGCTGATTGATCACTTGATGTTATGCATCCACAGGTATCCCAACAAGTTGCGAAGCCTCTGTTTGAAGCAAAGGTGCAACCAACTACTTTGATACCCAAGCAAGTTGGCAACATGTATACCGCATCTCTCTATGCAGCATTTGCATCCCTTCTTCACAATAAAAATAGTGAATTGGTAATAGTAGTTACTCTCTTTTCTAATTTTAGACTTACCTTTAAATCTTCACTTGTACTTAATCATTAAGATGGCTTTAATCTTAGCTTATTTTATATTGGACGCTAGTGCTTACCAGGATATTTTGGATTTATTGCAGGCAGGCAAGCGGGTTATACTGTTCTCATATGGAAGTGGTTTGACAGCCACGATGTTCTCATTGCAACTACATGAAGGTCAACAACCGTTTAGCTTGTCAAACATTGCCACTGTGATGAATGTTCCTACAAAGTTGAAGTCAAGGCATGAGGTAATCTTGAATATATTTCTTGAACGATTAAAGATGGTTCCTTGTATATCATTCTACTTTATGCATCATCATTTCTCTGGGAGCATGAATTTCAACTGTCATTACAACCCGACAAATCCATCTGCCCGCTGCGTAGCTCAATATTTGAATTTGTAGTTTATTATCACCGTTTCCAGTTGATCCCCCCCCCCTCCTCTCCCCGTGTGGACAGCTGTTCTCTTCTGAATAAGCAATCTAAAGGCCTTTGCAACCTGGGAACTCTTCATTACCCGCTATGTCAAGTGCAGTGTACTTTCTTATGGTCTTGATGGAATCATGATTAAGAAATACTAGGATTGTCGGAATGATCCAGAAAAAGTAAAGTTAAGGGGCCTTGTTAGGATATATCTTATCTGCTCAATTAGATTGTGAAGGAGCAGTGTCATTGAATGCATTACACTGACTTACGCTTCTGGTGCAGTTTTCTCCCGAGAAATTTGTCGAAACTATGCACCTAATGGAGCACAGGTACGGAGCAAAAGACTTTGTGACAAGCAAGGATTGTAGTCTTTTGGCTCCAGGAACATACTATCTTACAGAAGTCGACTACATGTACCGAAGATTTTATGCCAAGAAGCCCATAGACGGCGCTATTGAGAATTGTTCGCTCCCCAATGGTCACTGATCCTAGTGAACCAGCTACAGTTGTCATCAGCCAGGAATCCGGCTCTTAGCTTTTAGATGTTGTTATCAAGCGCAAAGAAGAATATTCATGCTTCCTCAAGTTTGTATTTTAAAGCAAAAAGGTCGTTCATCAGCAAGCAGGTGTTCTCAGTTTATTTTTTTGGTTATCTTTTAGTTCGTTCATCAGCAAGCAAATAGCTCGCTTACCTGGCCTCTGTAGCCTTATTTGTAATTTCATTTTCGTTCTTTTTATTTTTGGTGTGATTATTATGTGATCTAAGGGGAAATTTAGTATTTTAAAAAATAAAAGAAATAAAAATGGGTGCATGTATTGAACGTGTTCGCAAGAAATCCGGCTTGCTTTGTTTGGGTAGCGCGTGCAATGACTAAAATAACCTTTTATGACGTGTTTTGTTTCGTCATGGTAGGTTCTACTTTACTAGGCGGTGCGTGATGTGTAGTTCCCTTCCCAATGCATGGGGTAAAACCAAGCCCAGTGAGCAGGTAAGGCACTGTGGGGGTGACAAGCGTGCATGATGAGATTCGAACCCGGGTGCAGAGGAAAAAGACAAGCCCCTTGACTAATCCACACGGCCCACTGAACATCCTGCAAGCCCAGTGAGCAGGTAAGGTACCGCGGGGGTGACAGGCGTGT